GCCACACCAGCTGTGTACCCTACAACTTAGCTCAGCTCTGACACTGTCTACCTGGAGATTGCATCAGATTCCAAGGTGAAGGGCTCAGACCCACCAGACTGCACCGCCGTCAGGTATCATTTGCAAGTCCAAGTCTCCTGTGCTTCTGACCCACCAGTAATAATTTAGAGCTTCTCAGACCCCCTCCTTAGATTTGGTGAATTTGCAAGAGCAGCCCAGGGAACTCAGGAAAACTTCACTTACTGAATTACAGATTTACTGTAAAAGAATATGACTCGGGAAGGGCCAGATGGAAGATATGCTTCGGGCAAGATATGCGGGAGGGACACAGAGCTTCCGCCCCCTGGGGGGAGGGGGCATTGAGAGAGGATACTCTCCTCACAACACTGCGTTTACCAACCTGGAAGCTTTCTGAATCCCGTCCTTTGGCTTTTTGTAGAGACTTCATTATTTAGACACAAATGATTAAATCATTGGCCAATGGAGATTAGTTCAACCTCTGCCCCCTTTCCCCTTCTTGGAGGAGGAAGGGTGAGAGGTGCCTGAAAGTTTCAACCCCCTAATCACATGGTTCGTTCCCTGGACAACCAGTCCCCATTCTTAGGGGCTTCCCAAAAGTCGCCTCATCAACATAAACTCTGGGGTTGTTGAAAGGGGCTTGTTATAAATAACAAAAGACATCCATTTCACTTTCATGCTCTTACGACTTAAGAAACCCCAAGGGTTTTAAGAGCTCTCTACAAGGAGCAGGATGGTGACCACCCATATATTTATTATAGATCACAATGTCACAAGAAGGAAAGGAAGAAGAGTATTCTGAAAGGAAGCAAAGGCCATGAGCCATAACAAGTAAAATAAAATTATGGCTAAAATAATATCTCCAAGATAAAAGGTAAAATGGAGATGAATTCCTTTCTCATGATCTTATCTTCTCTGGGTGCTCCAGACCCCTTTGTTGGCCCTCTCGCATAGCACACAACACAGTCCACCTCCACCATGTCTGCGTGTCTCCCTCCTGCTATTCATCGGGACCCTTTTGGTTGCAATGAGCAGAAATTCAGCTTAAACCAGCTTGGGCAAAAAACGAATGCATGGATTGGAATAAGTGAGAAGAACACGGCTGTACTGGCACAGGGTGTGACCAAGCGCAGGGCTGACTCAATGCCACGTGTTATCAGCTCTTTCTCCATCTCTCTCTCCCGCCCCCTCCTTCTCCAGCTGTTTTTCACTCTGTTTTCACCCTCTGAGGGCCTCACTCTGTCCTATCGCAGCTGGGTTCCCCCAGAAGTCGGGAAAGATGGCCAGGTAACCCGTTTCATGTCCTTCCAGCTGTGAGTCCCAGAACTGAAGAATGCCACCCCTGCTGGGTCCATCAGAAGGGTCCCAGGGAAAGGCCTTCATTGGCTGGGCACCCCTTCCATGCTCTTGCCTGTGTCCCAGGGGCTGGAGGCCCGAGAAGTGCATGCCCCAAATCCCTGTCTGCAGATCCCAGAATAGAATGCATGAATGAGAGGCACTTGCCAAGACGTGGTAGGCAGAGGAAAGGCAGCAGCCAGATCTTTGCTGCTCTGGCAGTGTCTAACGAGGCCTGGGCAGATGTGACATTTTGCAGTCTAAGTATTTTCCTGAAAATCTTGGGCCTCAGGATTAGAGGCAGCTGTGGTTTTCAAGTCCCTTCAAATTCCTGTCTGTGAAAACTGGTAACGAAACTGGTGGTTTCTCTTGACCTTTGTCCAGAATTTCCAACGACTTTGTAAGCACCTCATTCCCTTTATTCCATTCCTTCCTACTTGAAATACCTCAAGCAGTTCCTGTTTATGAACATACCCTGACCGATACATGCAAATACCCTAGTGGAGGAGGAGGAAGAGGAGGAGGAAGGATCTGTCCCTCTAACGAGGGAAGAGGAGGAGGAAGAATGTGCTAACAGGAGAATCCAGAGCAACCACACTTCTCCCATGGGAAATGGTGGGAGGAAAATCCAGGTAGGTGGGATGAGGTGAGATTATGGAAGGCACTGCATGCCAGGCATTCCACTCTACGTCCTGAGAAAGAAGGAAGCCAGGGGAGTATGATGGCGAAGGCCACAGTTTAGGACCACTGGGGGTGGGACGTAAGGGACAGATTCGTGTTTTGGCACCAGAAAGGAAGCGGTGACAACAGAGGGGCCTGAGGACGGGAGACATGTGAAAACACAGAAGAAGGTGCAACTAAGAGATGTGCTAAAAGAACAACTAGGATATTTCGGTACATCGTAGTTAAGGACTTAATAATAATAGCTGTCACAAGTGAAGTTACAATTAATTATACATCAGGTAATCTGCTGAGTTCTTGACTTAATGTCAGTCATAATCCTGCAAAGCAGAAATTGTCTACATGTACAAATGAGAAAACCAGGTTTGAGGGATGCTAATTGATACGCTCCAGATCAATCAGCCAGAGATCAGAGCCAGGACGTGAACTTCATTAGGTTGCTCTTCCAGGCCTGCGTTCTTTCCACCGTGCCATGCAGATTTTCTCCCTGTCACCGGTCCTTTTGACCATTCAAAGGATTGAACTTGATCCTCACTTGGCAGGAGGCATTGGAGTACAATGAGAAGAAGGTCAAAGCCTTTGTCCTCTGACATGCAGCCCCGAGAATACAATCATGAGGAAACAATCAGACAAAGGCAAGTTCAGGGATATTTCTCAAAACAACTGGCCTGGTCTCCTGCAAAATGTCAGTGTTATAAGAGACAAAAGAAAAGACGAAATACCATTCTAGAGGAAAAGAGACTAAAGAGATGTGATAACTAGAGGCAGTGAGTAGTTCTGAGTTGGATGCCAAATCAAACAAACAGTACTGTCGAGGACACTTCATAAACAATTGGTAAAAACCAGATATGAAATAGTAATGTATTAACGTTACACTCCCCAAGTGTGACCATTTCATTGTGGTTTTGTGGAAGAATGCTCCTGTTCTTTGCAGATGAGCTGAAATATTTGGGAGTAAATCAATACAGTGTTTCCAAGTAATTCTCAAATGGATTGGCAAAATTATGACAGATAGGATGCAGATGTGGCAAACTACGAACAATGAAAGGGTTTGTGGGATTGTATTATTCTTTTTGTATTAATTAAAAGATTTTATTTGTTTATACTTAGAGAGAGGGGAAGGGAGGGAGAAAGAGAGGGAGAGAAAACATCAATCAGCTGCCTCTCACGCACCCAGACTGGGGGCCTGGCCTGCAACCCAGGCACGTGTCCTGGCTAGGAATCGAACCAGCAGCCTTTCAGTTCTCAAGCCGGTGTACTGGGCCACACCAGCCAGGGTGGATTGTATTATTTTTGCAAATTTTTCTGTAATTTGAAATTTTTCAAAATAAAAGGTTGAGGAAACATTTTTTAGTTGACTCCATTCCCCTTGGCCCTCCCCCAAATAAAACAAGACAAAAAAAGGAAGAAGGCCTTCGCATTGAACACACCGGAGTCTACCACTCACAGCTGCGCCGTCTCCGAGCCCTCGTCTCCTCAGCTGGAAAATGGCGGCGGCGATGCCCACGGCCAGCACCGCTGTGGGGCAACAGCAGACACCGCAGGCGTGATGCCTGGAGCACAATGTTCACTATGTTCTCAGTGTTCCCACTGCTCTCCTCCCTCCTTCCTGCCTCATCCGTTTCATCTCAGAATCCGCTAAACTAGAAAGTTGCTCAGGACACATAAGAACAACCATGCGCCCTGCAGAACGCAGGTAAAGAAACATGACCCCCTGCAGGGACACCAGGATGCAGGCTGGCTGACCCTCTGAATGTTGGACCACAGGGACAAAAGTCAGAAATGTATCCACCCGTGACTTGCTGGCTTGTGCCATGGACTGGAGCTCAGAGACCAGTGGGAGTGTCTCAAAGTGGGGTCACTGGCCCGTTGGAGCAGGGTCAGCTGTGGTCCAGGTAAAGCTGCAGATTCCTGGGCCCCACTAGGACCTGAGCCGGCTTCTCAGCACTGGTGTTGGGAGTGTCCATTCCAACACTGTTTTCTAGGTGACTCAGAGCCACGCTCCAGTTCGAGCACCAGTGTCCCACACACACGATGGCTGTAGGGAATGTGCTACTTTATTGCAAAACCGGCCCGCTGGAGAAGTGAATTCCTGTGGTTATAGAGCCTAATAATAATGTAGAAAGGTTATACCCAGCATGGAAATGTCCACAAATGGGAACATACGGAAATACGAACCGAGTTGTACATGGAGATAAAAGCAGGACATTTAGGGAGAAAGCAGTGTTTCCCTCTGGGCCCTGCTAGCTTCAGACTCAAGGGGTACGAATGAAATGCTACCCCAGCCTTAGGGGCGAAGGGAGCCCCTGGTCTAGTGCCCCCACATCCACCATTATCTGCACATTAGCATTAAAAGGATCGGAGTGGGCTCTGCATCCCTCCATTCACCACAACTCCAGGAAGCTGCACAAAGCAGACAGTTCCCCCCTCTGGACATGTGCGCTAAGTGGGGACTCCACAGCATCTCGTAACTCCAAGAGCTTCAGAAATTCTCGTGACCGAGCAGCTTGCTTAGATTCTGTCCCCGTCTGCCAGTGTCTCTCCAAGTTATGCCCATGGACCTTAAGGGCCCTCCCTCTGGAGAAGGGCACTGCAGGGTCCCACCTGGGTGAAAGGAGCAGACGGCCGCCACCTGGTTTCCCTGTAGCCCGCTAAGGGCTTGCTAGGGGACGTTTTTGGCTTGGAAGGTGGCTGGGCTCCTCGGACCATTTGGCTGCACGAGTTCCCCTCTGATCCTGAGAATCGTCTATTCCCAACCAGCTCCCGGCAGGGTCTGAGTTATTTTGGGAAGCTCAACATCCTGCACTCAGCCCTAGGGAGGGAGGGGGAGAGAAGGACAGACAATTGGGCAGTCTCCACCCCCAATCCACCCCCAAACCCAGGCGGACCAGGGAGAGCCATTTGCAATGTTAACTCTTCCCTGGCTCTGGCTTAGGCCAGTGCTTCCCACTTAGAAAAGCCTCCAATGGAAGCACAGTAACCATTTTAATTCAAGAACAAGAAATAGACAAAGTAGTGTATCAGAAGAAAATTATGCACGGAAAGTGACTTTTAAAACTTGTCTTTAAATATTACAGCCAAAGTGGAGGGATGGAAATTGCATCATCGGAAGAGCATTTGTGTGTGTGTGTGTGTGTGTGTGTGTGTGTGTGTGGTTTGACATTGAAGAAACAAATCATTTTCCCAACTGTTAGCCTTAAAGCAATACTTCACCTTTTCAGAGATGAACCAGGATTAAACTCTTTGGATTCGTGGTTGTACACACCAGCACACAGTCATTCACAGTGGAACCCAGATAAGGGGAATCTCATGGGTGTTGATGTTTGCTGCCTTAATCCCTTCTTTTCTGATTATTCCCCACAGTGTGCACAGCCCCCAGGAGGGAGCTGGGCCAGGCTGATGGGAGAGGGGCTTGGTGCAAGGAAGGGGGAAGGGAGGCAGCAAAGAAAGCGTCTGCAATGATTCTACAGGGCGACAAGGGCCCTTGTGCATGGGGAACGTCTCTGGGCTCTCGCTGCGGTGGTTCATTAAGGCCTGAGGTGGTAAGTCATATTTAGGAGCCATGATCTGTCATATCTGTCCTGGATTCAAGTCCACACACAGTCTGTCGCTCAGGGCCCAGCATTTGGCAGGAACTGAGTGAATCCTGGACGCGGACAGAAGTGAATAACGCACAGCCCCTACCACCTTCCCTCCAGACGTCTCTCAAGGACGGAAGAGTCTCACGTCCCAGACACAGAAGCCAGCCAACCTGTGACCGTGAGACGCCCACAGAAGAAAATCTGACGATGCTTGTGGGCCAGTACTGCAACCCTCCTCGGCTGCAGAGAAACACCGCTCTGCTCTTGACCTCCACTTGCTTTTCCATACAAAACAAAGCAAAACTAAACAAGTACGGCCTTCCTTCTCTGCCTCTGACACCTGCCCCCTCCAGTCTGTAGAGCCTGCCCTGGGCTTAGCTCCCCACAGAAGCAGTGGCTGACTCCCTTCACCTAGCCAGCCCTGGAGACACCCCTAATTTTCACTGCCCGAGTCCCAGGACCTGGGCTGACCTACTGCCCCCCTGACCCTGTTTCCTTTCTGCCACACTTTCTATTTCCTCCTTGCCCACAGGCGTCAAGCCCCTTCTGCTGGGTCCTCCAGCTGCAGGATGCCTGACCTGAGGGAACTTGATGTCCTCAGACCCCTGTGCTCCGTGTCTGGCTCTTCTGGCCTAACTTGTTCTATGGCCAATATGCTCCAGGTGTCCATCGTGGCCTTCAAGACTGCTTCAAACATCGGATTGATGTTTGGGGGACTGAAAAAGCCACTGTACTCAGCATTTGCCGCCTCCATAATTTACACTGCCACCGCCAGAGGACAGGCAGTTTGGCCATTAAGATGCATCACTGCAAAGCAATTCAGCTAATTTGCTTTCCTAGCACCAGTTTGCAGATCAAGCCCCACAGGACAGAGCCCTGTTGTCATCAAAGGGGCTTTCAGATGGGCTCTCCGACTTGAGCTACAGCAGAATCACCTGCAGAGCTGGCTGAGCCGCAGCCCCCAGTTTCTGGTTCCGAAGGACTGAAAATGAAAAGGACAATTTGCTTTTCCGGGGAAGTTGATGCTCTGTCCTAGGGATCTCACTTTTAAGAGCTGCTGCTCCAGGCCAGTGGTTTTCAAGCTTGGCTCCACATTGGACTCACCTGGAGAGACATAAAACGAACCAACAACGACAACAACAAATGCCTGAATCTACCCCCAGAGATTCTGATTTAATTGGCCTGGAATACAGACTGGTCACGGGAGGTCGTAGAAACTCGGGAGGTGATTCTAATGTTCAACAGGGCTTGAGAATGTCTGTTCTTGTCCATTTCATCCGCAGGGGCTGGGCGAGGGCTGGGGAGCCCTCTTTACCCCCCACAGGGGCCCAATTATTGCATGGATGCCCTTTAATGTTACTGTTTTGTTTTTCTAAATACGGCAACCCTACCCTTAGACATTTCCATACACAGAATGAGCAGCGATGATCTGCCAGGTCCTGTTTTATACATAGGAACACACTGAGGGCCCAAGAGGACACAGAGGAAGTCTTGACCTCGGTCCAGAACTCTTTTCTTCCATCACACTTAACTGTGCTAAAGACATTTGTACCCTCTTCTTGTTAGGGGGTTACTGTCAGTTGCCTGGAGGTGACTTCAAAGGAGACAGCGTGATTTATGTCTTCTCTGCTCCCTTCCCAATTCTCAGCTCCACTCACCTTTCTGCTGCCACAGACATCGTGGAGGCTGTCCTGGGGGATGGCCATTCTCAGGGCCGGATCCTTAGGGCCACCTCAGGGAGGAAGCGGGCTGGAAGTGGTATCGGCCAGAGACGACTGCGAGAGAGAGGCTATAATTGGGTAACACAAGGACAAGTGGGATTTGGCACAGGCACACGACAGGCAAAGCATGTTGGGAGAGGCCCACTTAATTCACAGAGACACTCGGAATTAGTTGTAAATTCTCTGGGAAGAGATCAAGGCAGCGGCATAAACAGCTCAATTAAACTGTCGGCTGGATGCTGGATGCACTGTAATGGTCAAAACACAGCCTTTAATCTAGATACAGGGGATTATCTTCCGGCCAGCGATGAGATTCCGAAGATTAGCTGTACCTGAGCCGAGGAGAACAACAGCTGTCTCAGCTACACCAGGGACAGCCTGCAGGCCAGGGTGACTGGGACTTGTGGGGAAGAGGCTACCTGGATGCCACAGCCCTCCTGGGACCCTCTCTGGATGCCAGGAAGATGGGGAAGAATCTCACTCCGCCTTCTCTGCTTGGGACACCGTCTGGGAACACAGCAAGTCTGACACACTCCCACCTCCAGACCACAGTGAACAGCCACTAGCACCAGTTCTGAGGCGGACAGAAAGGTCAAGCTCCAGCCCTCTGCCCTCCTGCCTTTCATGATCCAGCCACTCACACTCACAGTCACTCCCTAGGGATCCACCACTGTTCTGGGCGCTGGACTTGGGCAGTCAACAAAGAGGAAAGACCCCTTTCCCATTGCGGGGCAAGACAAAGAATACACAGGAAAAGTAAGTAAAATAGGTTGTGTGTGAAATGGGCTGAGGGAGACTAATTGTTGAGTGGGGACAACACTTCTGGGTTTGTTGCCCAGGCGAGGCCTCTCCGAGCAGGGACGCCGAAATAAGACCTGAAGGGACTGAAGGGTGAGTCACGGAGACAGCTGCAGGGAAGCATTCCAGGCGAGGAGACGTCGTGCAAAGGCCCCAGACTGCCACAGTGTGCAGGGAACAGGAAGAGAAGGCCTGGCTAGAGCAGGGGAGAAGACAGGAGACGATGGGGCCAGGAATTTAAGGGGACTAGAGCACGTAAGGCCTGATGAGCCACCGTGAGGATGTGGGCATGTGCTATTAGGGAAATGGGGACTTAAAGGGGGGTTCAAGCAGAGAGCCATAAATAGATTATTTTTAATAGGATCACCGGCAACTGAGACAGAAGCAGGGAAATGGGTAAGAGACACCTTCCACGATCCAGGCCACAGACGAAGGACAGGTGGACGCAGCTGAGGTGTGGGAGGTGGTAGGACTCTGCGTATTCCTTGCTGATGGGAAGGATGGAGTAGAAATGAAAGAGGGTGTCAGCGATGACTGATGGTTTTGCTTCAGACCCTCACTGAGCACTGATGACTTCCAAATCAATTCTTCTGACCCAGGCTCCTGCCCTGGGGCCTGCCACACAGCAGGGGACTGACTGATGTTAACATTTGATGGACTGAAATGAAGGAGCTGAGTCTGTTTGGTCGGTGGCACAACTTTTCCAGGCCTCCACCAATGTATAGCCTACCTCCAGATGCTGGAAGGAGGTACAGAGAATAGGGCTGCCATGTACCCATCTTGGTCTAAGCAAGAGGTTGAGAGAGGGCAGAAGCTGAAATAGGGCCCCAACCAATCCTTCCAAAAAGAAAATTGGGGAGAGGAAAATGGGGGAGAGGGGGATACAAAAGTGAAAAATGTGAAGAATGACAGGCACAGTGTGGGGTTTGTGATGGCAAGAGACTGGGTGCACCCTGGCTGGTGTGGCTCAGTGGATTGAGCGCTGGTCTGCGGACCAAAGGGTCGCTGGTTCGATTCCCAGTCAGAGCACATGCCTGGGTTATGGGCCAGGTCTCCATTGGGGGGCACATGAGAGGCAACTGCATATTGATGTTTCTCTCCCTCTCCTTCTCCCCCCTTCCCCTCTCTCTAAAAACAAATAAATAAAATAAAAAAAATGTAAAGAGACTGGGTGCCACTCCCAGCTGTGCCTCTTGAGTCAATCTCTTCCCTTCACTGCTCCCACTTTTCCCTCTGGAAACAGAAAGACCAGCTGTCTGCAAAGAGGGCCTATTCAACTGCAGCCCTCATAGGGCTCCCTCTGATCCTCTCCCTGCGAGACCCTGTCTCCTCTACTCACTTGACACACTGCTTCTCCAACGTGATCCTTAGGAAACTTTCCTGCTTCCTTTCACAATGATTCTCTGACTCCAAGTCTTGTAAGATGTGTCTGTACTAGTTCCCAAAGGAAAACATCCATGTGTTTGTTTGTTTGGTTGGTTGGGTTTTTTTTTTCTGCCTGCTTAAAGTAAATACCACCTTAGGCCAGTTACCCCATCTGTAAACTGGGAATAACACCAGATTGCTGGGATGCTGAGTAGGGTTAATAAAACACAGACTGTGTAGGGGTTGAGCAGATATACAAGTGTGCTGGAAGTTCTTGGCATAATACTATAGCATTACAATAATTCTGGCTTGCAAATTACACCCCAGCAGAGGTATCACAGGGAAAAGTAGGTCTGATCCCATGGCCTGCTGAAAGTGAAATGAAAAAAGTAAGTTGTGAAATATAACTTTTCCTCCTAAACCTTTGAAAAAGGCAGAGGCAATGCTTCCATGTGCAACCCACATGCAGGGAACACATTTCCAGATCCTGGAGAGGAGTTTCTTGTCTCGGGTCACTTGGCCTGTCGCCAGGATCTGGCTGATCTTCCTTCCTGAGCAGAGATGGGAAGGGAGGGAGCCGGAGAAGATTTGTGGTCGGTTGAAAGGTGGGGCCTTAATGAGGATGTCCCTCAGTTTTTCTATTTGGGCCCCCCTTACTTGCAGGATAATTAAGTGCTTCCCCAGCAGAGGAATGACTTAAAGTGTAATTTGAGATATTTAAGTCTAGGGATACCCAAAATAAACATCTTAGCCCAGGTCAACTTCTGGGTCCTCCCACCATCCCCTAGACACATCACACACACACACACACACACACACACACACACACCCAGTGAAGGGGTTGTGTAGTTGGTGATGGTGTGTGATTGTGTGAGTCTGAAAAATTTAACTGGCTCATAGAAAATGAGTTCTCTGACCACAGAGGGAAAGAGCAAATAATCTGATCCTGAAGCAGTCAGCTCGATGGCTTTACTACATAAGGCTGAGCAGACAGGCTGCAGAGTAAGGCCCAACTTGAAGTCCTGGTTCTGCTACTTTGCAACAGGGGCCTCAGGCAGAGGAAGAGTCAATAGCTGTAGGTCCCTCCCTGTCCAAGAGTCTCAGACTGAGAGTCTGACCTCCACCTCTAGTGTGGCCAGGGCTGTGTCCCAGCGAAAGGAGCCTCTGGCCTTGTGGCCTACCAGAAAAAAAATAGACTCTCGAAAAACTCATCTATAATTTACAGGTAGCAGATGGAGATTATTGAAAATTTGGGTTATCGCCCTAGTAAATCAGACTTCTTAGAGAATTTCTCAGGTTTCAGTTTTCACACCTAAGGTAAGCCATATTCTGGGGCTTGCCCAGTCAAGTTCAAAGGAGCTCCAGCTCTAGTAGCAGTCACCTAGCCCATAGCCATGCAGTTCTGGCCTTTACTGGGAGCATGCCACTGCCAGGAGAGCAAGTTGGTTCCTCCCTCTGCCTCAGTTTCCTCATTTTTGGTTAATAATCAAAGGACGACCTTAAGTTGCCAAGTAGAGACTAATGTAAATAACATAATTTCGGAGCCACAAGACCAGACAACTGAGGCCTTCTCTGGGCCTCATTTTCTCCATCGGTAAAATGAGGGCCCTGGATTAAATGGAGCCCTGTCAGCTCCTACAATCTTGGACATTAAATATTCCCACAGCTCCCTGAAACAGGTTGTCCCTGAATAGGGTTAGAAGCACGACTTCCTCAGAGTTGAAAAGGTAAGCAAACATTCCGACCTCTCCTTAGCCTGGCACTTGGATTGGTGTAGGGCAGGGCACCAGCCACCTATCCTGGCCACATCCGTCGTCTGGATTGCTAATATCCCCATTAGCATAAAGACTTCTCCGAATATCTGACACACCAGTGCTGAAACGGAGTTTCCATCCTTTTAAGAAAGATACAGGCACCCAGTCACCAAGGGGTCTCTGCACCGCATTTCCTCCGCGCGAGTCACGCTGTAAACTAGAAATGCCCCCGTTAATCGACCTTCGCAATCCGCCCAACAGTGGGATTCCCTGGAGTACACAGCGCACGGGTCCCTGGGGATAAGGACGGGTTTGGTATCTGAGCGCTGCAGGCTCAGGCTGGCTACCTCTCTCCTTAGGCGGCAGCGGGGGGCGGACGAGGCGGGGCTGGCAGCACCGCAGGACCCCGGCGCCCTCCGGCACCACCCGGCAGCTGGCGCCGAAGAGGCCGCAGGAGGTGTCGCGTGCTGAGGGGGCAGAGGTGCGCCTGCGGAAGACAAGGGCGCAAGGAGGGCGGGGCTTGGACCAAGGTCTGGCGGCCGGGCTCCCGGAGGTGGGAGGGGCGGAGCCTGCTGGGGCGGGCTGGGGGCGGGGCGCGCGCCGGCCCGGGGAGGGCGGGGCCGCGGCGCGGGGCGGGCTCTGGCGGCCAGAGTGTCACACACGCGGCGGTTCGGAGGCGGCGGCGGCGGCGGTAGCGGCAGGCGCCGCCGGGACGGGCACGGGCGCGCGGGCTCAGGCGGGCACCGGCTGCTTCCCTCAGTCACTGGCTTTCCGGCTGCGGGTCCGGGATCGCCCCAGCCCTCTCGGAAAGGAAGAAGGGGAGGCCGAGAACGCCGACAAGTTCGCTTATCAGCCGGGGATCCCGGCCAAGGCAGAGACTGCGCCTCCGACGGGCAGCAGCGCGCTCCACAGCGGAGCGCAGAGCGTCCGAAGCGGGGAGGGGGGTGCCCGGGCCTTTCGCTCTCCGCGGGGCCGTGGGCCAGGATCCCATGAGACGCGCCCGCGAGGGGCGCGAGATCCGAAGACCCGGCGGCGCTCAGCGGAGGCAGAGGGCGGTGCTGCAGCTGCCGGAGCCCGGGAGCGGCCGGCAGGAGGCGGCGGAGAGAACTTGAACTTGGCGTCGGGAGCAGGCGCCCCGGACGCCCCCCGCCGGGGCCGGGGCGCCGAGGGACCTGGGCGGCAGCTGTGCCCCCCGAATGGCCGCGGCGGTGGACCTGGCTCCCGCGCCGCGGCCCTAGGCGGCCTCTCGACATGGCCAAGTGGCTGAACAAGTACTTCAGCTTGGGCAACAGCAAGACCAAGAGCCCCCCGCAGCCGCCGCGGCCCGACTACCGCGAACAGCGGCGCCGGGGCGACCGGCCCTCGCAGCACCCCCAGGCCGTGCCGCAGGCCCCCACAGCCGCCTCGGCTTCCTGCGGTCCGGCTGCCGCCTCCTGTTTCTCGGCCTTGTCGGGATCGCTGCCCGACGACAGTGGCAGCACAAGCGACCTGATCCGCGCCTACCGCGCACAGAAGGAGCGCGACTTTGAGGACCCCTACAACGGGCCTGGCTCGTCGCTGCGCAAACTGCGCGCAATGTGTCGCCTAGACTACTGCGGCGGCGGCGGCGGCGGCGGGGAGCCGGGCGGAGGCCAGCGCGCCTTCTCCGCCTCGTCCGCATCGGGCGCCGCGGGCTGTTGCTGCGCTTCCTCTGGCGCGGGTGCCGCCGCATCCTCGTCTTCGTCCTCCGGCTCCCCGCATCTCTACAGAAGCAGCAGCGAGCGGCGCCCGGCCACGCCGGCCGAGGTGCGCTACATCTCCCCCAAGCACCGCCTCATCAAGGTAGAGAGCGCCGTGGGCAGTGCCGGAGATTCCTCGGGGGGCGCCTGCTTGGGCGGCCGCACCTGGAGCCCAACAGCCTGCGGGAGCAAGAAACTGCTCAACAAGTGTGCTCCCTCCGCCGCGGAGGAGAGCGGGTCAGGCAAGAAGGACAAGGTAAGGCTCCCCTTGGCCTCACCCAAGGTCCCAGGGCCACCGTGCCTATGGGGAAACTGAGGCACCGTCTGGATTTCGAGTCCCTATATCAACTTCTTGCTAGGACCCTGGGGTCAAGGCTCCCACCCATCTTCCTGATTCTGTTCCCTCGCATGCGCTTTCCCCTGGATTGTCCGCCTCCTGACACACTCCATTTTGCTGCTTCTCCCAAAACGTCCCCTGTCTAAGCCCACAGCCAAGTGTCCACTTCGTAAGTTACCGGACGAGAAAGCCCCGCCAGGCCTTGCCCACGAAAGAGACATTCAGCCAGCCCTTCCCGCCCCCGAGGAGTAAAGTAAGAAAGTCAGAGCTGTCACGGACCGAAAAAAGCGTTTTCTCTGGTCTTTTTCCGTTTCTCGCATTCCCCCTGGCCTGTAGATGGGAAACTGAGGTCCAGCGCTGGGGAGGGACTCGCCCCGTATTACACAGCACTCTTGGTGGCAGATCCGGACCGGCTGTCTCTAAAAGTGCACATGTAAATCCCACTAAACGCCCAGCTCTGCCCCACCCCCTGCGCCAGGTTTCCAGACTCCGGCTGCCTTTTGTACTGGAGCTGCCCCTGAAACCTTCACGCTAGCTTTTCCAGGAGGGGGGTCTGCCCAGGGGCTTGGCTGGAAGGAGACCCACCCCTCCAATCCTCACCTTTCTTCCTGACCCCATCCCTACCCCATACTGTCTCAGGAGAGAGAACAACTTTGTGACACCCCCCTGCCTTACATATCAAGCCATCTTGACACCCCCCCCATTTGAAGCAGGCTAGTTCATTACAGCCAGACTGGGCCCTTGCCCCCCCTTCACACTCCTGCAACACCCTCCGTTTGCCCACAAAATAATACTTGTTCTGTCCACTTCTGGTGGAAGGCAGTGTTTTGATTACATCTGAGGCCCAGTGTCCTGACATGGCTGTCAAGCTGCTCTCCCTCTTGTGCCCCCCCACACCCCCAAAGATAAACTTTTGCCTGGGCTAGGGGAGACTGACAGAGTCTGAGTTCCTTTTAGAACTGCTGTCCAGACAGGTGGAAGACAGGCTCCTACCTGCCAGCTGGTGCTCAGAAAAGGATCTTTTTTGTTTTCCTGTCGGGAGGAGTAAGGGGGCACACCCCTTTAATTTTTCTGCTTGGCTTACTATCCCTGAGGCCCCAGGTCCCCAGAGTATCCCCTCCCCAATGGGTCTGCTGAAGACAGCATGGGCAGTCTGGTTTGGGTCCCACCTCTCCCTGGGGTCAGTTTGGGGACATCCCTCAGAAGCATGGACTCAGCTTCCCAAGCACCCAGGATGCCCCATCTAGGTAACAAGAAGCAAGTAACTACCAGGTGCTGCCTTGGGGAAGGGGAGATCTCTCTGTGAGCCTCGGGGATCATGGGCTTGTGGTTGAACCTTGAATGGGACATCAAAGAAGCTCTCTGTCGCCTTATGCAAGGCCCAGGTTTGTCTAGGTGCTGGGCTGGGAGGACCTAAAGTTCCTGAGTATATGGAAGGTGTGAGGGAGGCCCAGCCTAGCGATCAGGAGAGAGTCACAGGCAAAGGTGCTGGGCTCCCTGCCTCCCCCTTGGTAACTCCATGGCCAGCTCCCAGGTGGGCAAATCTCCTTTCTCTTTCACTCCTTGTCATTCTTCCTGCTCACTAAAGTCTTCTTTTATGGCTTTCAAAACTTTAGTAAACATTTTTTCTTAATTGCAATTAAGACTATTTCAAATACTGAGGGATAATGTTTTATAGCTGGAATGTCAAGTGTGTTTAAGACTTTGCTTCCTTCTGCTGTCAGTTACTTCTCATGGGTCTTGTGCCCTCCCCTGCTCAGTGGTGAAGCAGGCCCCTCTGGGCAAATGCTGCGATGGGACTTTGTGTTACCTGGGACTGGTGGTCAGGGGGGCCGTTGTCATGGGGGAGGGGTGCTGACCCTGGCTGCAGAAGATAGCCTCGTGCTTTAGGGGGCTACAGGTAAAGTCCCTGTGGCTGGAACTGAGAGATGAGAGTTGGGCAGGGCCCCAGAGGGGCAGCAGGGTGGGGGTCAGGAAGGACCTTGTAAGTTAAGCACAGGGAGGGCCAGTGAAGGGATTTAGCTGCCAGGTAATGTGAGCAGATACAATTTTTTGGAAAAGATCTCTGGGCTGCATTTCACCTACTAGTTTGTGACTTGGGCCCTTTGATGTTTTGAGAAGCTGTTCCCATTCTGGATACAGAGGAATTGTAGCTACCAGATGTTCTTCCTAATGAGGAGGCGGGGAGACAGCCAGAGAGGGTCACTGAGGCAGTGGTTCTCAAACCCTCCCCTGGAGGGAGCCCCCACCCCTACACCCGCAGTGTCTGGTTGACCAAGCTTGGTGTGGGGCCTGAGAATATGCATTCCCGGGTAAGTTCCCAGGTGATCTTTTGCTGCAGATTCTGGGACCACACTTTGAGAACCACTAATACAGCAGTGGTTTCTGGGTCTCTCAGTTGGAGCTGCTTTGGGGATGCAGAGACTCCGATGCCCTGTGTGTGGGGCTGCCTCCTAATCTGGGGCCAGCACCCAGCCCCCGACTCCTGGTCAGGCAGCCACAGGCAGCCTGGTTTTCACATTATTTTTAGCCTGATAGCTTTTGAAGGCCAGGCATGCTGTAGATCCAACCCTGAGCCCCCCAGAGCCTCCCATCTGCCTCTCACCCATGGATCCACGGACACCCACTTCTGGCACGCCACTGAATCTCAGGCCCAGCTTCCCTTTATCAGTTGGACACGAACCCATAGTGCTGTTGAATGCTCCCCGCCTGCCAGGCCCGGTGTTTGTTTTTAACCTTGGGCCTGAGTTGAGTTACTGCGTGTGGTGTGGAGTAGTGACTGTCAGTCCACAGATCCTCCTTTCAGCGCCTCCGGTGCCACCCCCACCATAGTTTATCTTTGGGGGCCCCCCTCCTGCCTCCCTCTGTCTCACACTTCGGCATCCTTCTGTTCTCCCAGGTGAGTCCTGGAGCGCGCACACACCTGGTCACACTCCCCCCCCCCCCCACTACCACTAGCATCCTGTTGTGGGCGTGTTCCCTGTTAATCATGTGGAAGAGGGACGTTGTCAATGTAGCCAGCTTTTACCTGCACTTCCATTGTGCTCAGAGATCTCCCAGGGCCAGAGCGAGTGAGCAGGGGAGGGCAGAAGGCTGCAGCAGGCTTGTTGGTGATCTCTGGCCTCAGCCTCTGGTGGAGACCCACACGCTGTTTTCGTCGTTTGTCTCCCGGGGTTTTTGTCTTGGGAAATTTAACAAGGTCTTCACCTAGGAGGCAGCTTTGAGCTGTATCTAGAGATGCAAGCAGCATTTCAGCGCAAAGAAAGGGGTGACTGCGGCCCACAGGTGCGCTTACGTGCCAGTGCTGTGTGTGTCCGTGTGCCTAGGAAAGTGTGTCCACATGCATGTGCGTGGTTATATGTGTGTGTACATATTAACCTCAACAAGGAGTGTCTTTTTGGAAACCAGAGCTTTCTTGTAGTGGGCCTGCTTTGGGAAACAGAGGATGACAACATGAAAGAGCTGGGGGTCTGAGTTTGGATCCCCCTTCCCCCGGGGGAGTCCCAGAAGACTGTTGAGCCAGTAACGGATGGACCCAGTCGGAGCCATGGTTGGGGAGCATCCCAGGCTGCAAACAGCTGCCGCAGCCTGGGGGAGCTGGGGTCTGAGTTAGGGGACAGTTGCAGTATAGTCCGGGGAGAGACGGTAAAGGCCCGAGCTCTTGGGAAGGGAGAACAGAACCTCGGTAGCTGGAAATGGTGTCCCTTCAGGCTGCCTTTACGCAACAGGAGCAATGACGAAAGGGGCCAGTGACCCGGTGGTGCTTCTGTGCAGCCACGCCGTTCTCATCCCGTTACGTTTTCTGCTGAAGGCTCGTTTCCTTTATCGTTAAGCAAATGTTTCCACCACAGCGGAAAAAGTCAAGGCGCATCATGACATCATCTTCCCGAGTTTTAAATACATGCTAACACATTCCAACACTCTATATTTTGTCAGCATTTACAGAGTTGAGTTAAATAACATGTTTCCTAAGGAGTAAATAATATCATGTCTAACCTTTTTTTTTTCTGTTAAACATTTAGCAAACAACGTCTGAGCAGACTGCTAGGCAGGGGGAAGTCAGAGAAAATTCGTGGTGGCCAGCTTTCCAAGAAGGAAGCGTCTCAAGGTCTAGTCTGGGAGAAAGATACAGCTAATAAGACAATATCGTAACCCAAGGAATGTCAGAACAGAAGTGTGTACAAAGGTCTGGGAGATCCTCATATCTGGGAAGTCAAAGAGGGCTTTCAGGAGGAGGCGCCATTTGAGCTGACTCCGGAGGGATGGGTGGGAATTCCCCAGGCAGGGGAGTAGGGAGGAGGGCTCTCCATGCAGAAGGGATAGAACAGCTATGTCCAGGCCTGGAGACAAGGGAGAGAAAGGTTAGAGGCTCAGCAGAGCGGTTGTGCGGGGGGATGGCAGCGGGAGGTTGGAGCCACAAAGGGAAGAGAGGGTCTCACGTGCCTTGCCGGGGAGTTGTGACTTGTCTTTGGGTACTTTTGACATAAAATCATTGATGGGTGGCTTGATGGACGGACGCCAGGGTCAAACAGGAGTTGTTGAGTCATTTCCATTTGGTTCATGGCCACATCCTCCAGTTTTAAGAAGGTAATTGACAGAAAAAGTAAGAACCATACTTGGTAGCTGTGGTTTAGCCTGGGACATTTTCTCTGTTGAAGCCCCATCCCTTAAAGGCAGTGTGAGAGAAGTGCCTGCACATCAGACCCAGTTTTTCCCACTGATTTCCGTCCCAGAGGACAGATGTGTTCTCCGCGTTTCATGCTAACCACGAATCGATCATTTAATCCTCACAGTCACCCCGGAAGAGGTTTAGGTACTGTATCAGTTAGCTATTGCTGCATAGTAAATCATCCTGAACTCGGTAGTTTTAACCCAGGGCTTAGCAAACTATTCATAAAAGGCCAGAGAGTAAATATGTT